AGAAATTGATTAACTAAACTCGACCAACATTTAGCTTCAGTTTCTACACCTTAAGCTCTTTGTTCTTACAGAGCAGATTTATAGCTTGAAATCTGTCGTCATTTTTGAACAATGGATCCTTGATTTCAGAAGTAAGTAGACAAAACACAGCGTCTTCTTCTTGTGCTAACGCTACCTCCCTGATTAGCTGAAAAAGTTGCTTCTTGCTGATTTTTTTTTATGTTTACCTCAATGTACTTGAGAACTGCATATGTACACTGATCAGCCACAACATGAACCCACCCTAATGTTGTCCACCTTGTGCTGCTTTGACCCTTTGGGGCTTGGAAACACAAGCACTGTTGGTGTCTGGCGGTGTCTGGAACTAGGACGCTGGTAGTAGGTATTTTGGCTCCTCAGGATTGTGGCATGGGGCCTCTGTAGATCAGATTTGTTCAGGTGCATCCTGCAGATGCTTGAACATGTTGGTATCTGTGGTGTTTGGAAGATAGGTCAATGTCTTTGCTCTTTGTTGTACTGCTCGAGCCAACATGCTTAAGTGGATGCTACATTGACCAGTATGCCAGGACCCAAGGTTTCCCAACAGAACATTGCATCGTAACAAGATGATCAATGTTTTTAACTTCACCTGTCAGTGGTTTTAATGTTGTGGGTGTATGGTGTTCAAGTCCCAGAGAAACGACTACTTCAACCTAATACAGTATTTATTTTCTTCACAATAACATTTGACACAACAGATTTGTACATACAAGCTAGATAAAGCATCCATTTTCTGTATTTATTGATTTTTTTTATTTTGCGATCAACTCTGTTTTCTACCTGGAAACCATTCTTTGTCAAGTCTCTGACAGCTGCTGCAGATCACAAAGGGATGTCTGCTGTGATAGCCTTGACACATCCAAACCCTCCCCACACTGGAGGATAGCTCACAGCCATCAGAGTCACCAGGCTCCGATACAGGATAATGACTGGAGCGAAACGGGACCAAATCCATTGTACGATAACTTATCTCTTTAGGTCTGTGGGACTCCCCCCCCCCCCTTATATGAGCCCTTGCATTTCATAAACCCCAAATTCATTTCACTCTGTATCTGTGCTGATACAGTTTCCCGTGAATGAGAGGGGAAACTCTGGGGCTGGGAGATAGAGAGGGGAGAGAATTCACCGCACACTGCAGACATAGCGGGAAAACTGAGATAAGAATATTAAACAGGAGAAAGAATTGTGTCTTCTCCTCCAAACCAATAACATGACAGAGTGGATGGAAATGAAAAGGGAACACTCAACTCCAGTCTCTAAGAATTCATATGACAAATTTTAGAGGGCAGAATGTGTTTCAGAGTATTTGCGAATTGAATTGTAAAACACTGTTTTATGGAACACTATTGCAGTTCAATCATGCAACTTCCTCTGATTCTATTAAGGCAATCTAAATAAACTAAGACGTGGACGCTAAATCAACCTTCTGATATGGTCCAATGAAAGTAAAAAATAAATTATTAAAATATTTGGCACTGTGAGAAATATGTACTATATGACCAAGTTTCTGCTGCCACAGTCCACATCTACAAACCAAACGAGCTCCATACAGCATGAGGATGTTTCAGAACACACTGGGTGTATTTGTAATACATCACAAACAGATAAATGACAGGAACTGTTGAAGGAATTAGCTTCTTAATCTCACATGCCTCCAAACTGATGCTGTATAGTCTGACAGAGATTGTAACTGAAATTCTATAGATCTATCTCACAAAGGCTGGCATACAATAAACCTTTAATATCTTTACTATTATGCAGTTTGCAAGGGCCTTAAGCTCCTTTTAAAACCAGGACTCCAATTAACAAGATTTTAAACAGGTGGATTATTGTCGTGTCCACACGAGTGCTTTTTGTCAACTGTTAATCATCACCTTGCTTTGAAATATTTAAAGTAAGACATTAAAATGTGGAAAGACAATTTTGCTGTTTACAACTGACAGTCAGAAAATTAATCAGTCCCCCCGATGATGACTGCAAATTGCCCAAGATTATGTTGACACGTCTTCATTGCTGCATGTAGGAGGAGGTGATCGCAGCAGAGCTGCCATTTAGCCTGCCAATGGCCCCGGGGGATTCTTCTTCTCTAGCATTCTTTTTAATGTCTGGCAATTAAAGGACGGCTAACTGCCGGAGAGGAGGAGAGATGGAGGAAGAAAGAGGAAGAGATGGACTGGCTGACTTGGTGTAAAAGAGTGAGGTTCAGAGAGACAGAAAAGAGAGAACACATAGAGACAGGGACACACACCGATAGATCTAACTACAAACAAACTAAAAACCACAGGATCCTGTCAGGAAAACAGCCAAAGCTTAACTCTATTTTGTACTGTCTGTGTTGTGTGGTCATTTAAAACAAGGCTGAAATTCGATTTAATTCAACAAGGATTACTTAGTCACTGGTGGAAATCTTCACCTCACACCAACAGACCCTGAGGGAAATTCCTCTCATCTTCTTTAAAGCGTTATCTATACATTTCAGTGTTCAGATCATACACTGCTGCTGTTGATCAGGCAAATCCATCCTGCCTAGTTTTCATTCACAGTAGCAGTTGATGCTAATGCTTTCCATATCTATCAGTGTGACAGGCACAGCACGTTGGTTTGTTTCACTCAACGGGAGAAATTAATCACACACATTTAGTATAACAAGAGAACATTTGAGCTCTGCATTAACTGCACTCATGCTGCTTTTGATGGCCATATTAAGACAATAGTTTCAGGCTTCTTATTGAGGCTATTTGTTAACAGGTCTAACTTAACTGTCACAGCAGCTTTTTGGATAACACGTGTCTGTAGGGCTGTATGCATTTACAGTGCATATTGTGAAATCATGAAAGGTTAAGGAACAGGCCCTAAAGATTATGTGTAATTTCAGTGTCGCGCTTTGAAAAGCCTTTTATGTGAACATGCATTGCAATTTTGCATTTGGTGGGCAATATTTCTCCGGATAAAAATATCCTCCCTGACAAATGTCATTCAAATACTTGTTTCTCCATCGAGGGGCATTGTTAAAGTGCTCGCTATGAATGACAGTTTCATGTAAAGTAAAGCATAATACGGGCACATTATAGACAGATTACATCTATTAGTTACTGCTGTGCTGCATGCAAATGGTATGCCCATGGGAGAGCAGAAAATCATTTTAAACTTCAATAAGTTACAAGCGGTGGCAAGTCTACCCATAATCTGCACAAAGCCCCAGGCAGCAATGAGGCTGGATGCAATTAGGAGGAAATAAAATTCTACACAGTAAACAAAGAAAAAAAAATGTAAAAAAGACTGATGAAAGAGAAATGAACATTGTGGAATGAGATTGCTTCATCTTTGATGAGGTCTGCTGTTGCTTCCTTTTAATTGTCACAGCACAAAGCTATTATTTTCAACACAGCTAACTGTGCCATTGGTAATAATCTGACAAGGCAACAATGACTTAAGGCCAACATGTCAAACGAATATGACTATTTAATTAAATTAACACATGTCTTTGTCACTCTAAAAATCCATTTTAGGAAGATTCAAGGGCGCAGTAACCCTGGCATGTAAAACTCAGGTGTGTGCAGTGTTCCTATTGATCATCTTTTGCAGCTGTGGAAGCGTATTCAGATCATTTTAGTAAAACATCTTAGATAGAAACACTTCTCAATGAAAATAGTTTATTTAATACTGTCACAAGTTAAAAACAAGTGTTCAAGACTTTTACATCAACAAAATGAAGTTTAGTATCTAAGATATAAGCAGAATGCTCCCTGAAGACAAATATATTGAAAGTGGCTTCAGATGATTATTAAGAAAGGAAAAAAGAAAAAAAACATTCTGATACTAATAAATCTTTGTGTTTGTTGAGTGTTGATGTCATATTTCATCATTTGAACACTGAAATTAAACCATGTGAGCAGTTTAGAGGTAAAAATCATGATTTGGTGAAGCTGCTAACAACTCATTGACATCTGAAGTGTGACCCCGACGACTTTCTGAAATAAGTTTTAAGCCAAAAAGTTTATCAAACGTATACAAAAGACCAATAATGTAGCATAAAATTGAAATACTTAAGTACAAGTAGCTTACCTCAGACATCCACTGCCATATAATTGCGATGCAGTGCATAACAATAACTTGTCACCGCTGATCTCTTGTGCGTTTGTCATGTTTAGCACATTTGTATTACTATTTTATTTTTTTACAACATATTCTAACAGGCTTAATTTTTTTGCATCTTGAAGTACCAATTGATCTACCCTGATTACAAATATAATGTATTGTACAGTTTATGGATGCAGGATTTTCTTGTGTCTAACTCCTCTTTACTCCGTGCTATTGTATTTTTTGTACTTTTATTATTGTGGGTGTATCAATTGACTTTCTGTTGTAATGATGGCTTCCTCAGAGTCCTATTTTTTGGCTCATTTATTAAATTAACAGATATTAACTTAAGACTCAGAGTCATGAGAGCCCGTACCAACAGACTAAAACACAACTTCTTCCCCATGGCTGTGAAGAGGCTGCTGCAGGAACCATGACGCTTCTGTTTATGGACTCATTTAAACAAATGCTCTTTTGCACTTTTAATAGCGTGATTATTTTATTGCTTTTTTTAAATTATCTATATCACCTTTTAACTTTTTCCTTCTTCTTACAACTTTGACCACATTAGCTACTACAAAGATGATGCCAAATTTTGTTGTGTTTTTGTGCCATGACAATAAAGCTTCTTCTTCTTCTTGAAATAATTAAGTTATAAAACTCTTCTTCTTCTTGTATTCTTCTTCTTCTTCTTCTTCTTCTTCTTCTTATTATTATTATTATTATTATCTAGGTGGGAGTGTCCGACTATCAGCTCGTCACATGTCCCTCCAATATTTTTGTCTAATCGTCCCACCCTCCTTTCCTGCTATTGGTCAACTCGAAGAAAGCCCGTTTCTGATTGGACTAAAAAAGGCTGTCCGTCATTGACGTCGCCGTGTAAACCAGGAACTGTCCGTGGAAGAAGTGGTGTGTTGGCATTCTGGAGAAATTTGGACCAAAGTACCAAATAACGGTGAACTCCGTCGTCCTGCGTGTCCACATACAGCAGCCAGACGTTTCGTAATGCAGAAATACTTCTACTGAGCGACACTTTCTTTCGAAAAACAAAAACAGTGTGAGTATCTCCGTGAATACAATGAATGGAAGCTGCCTGCAGGTAATTACACCTCCACGGGGGTGTTTTTACGTTTCTGAGAGCTTTATAATATGCACATTGGCTCTAAAACTAACATACGAGCTCTGCAGATTTAGGTTACTGCGAGAGTATTTTCTTCTCCGTGCTGCACAGAGAGAAAAAAGTGAAACTGCACAGGTATGAGAAACTGCATGCACGGTTGACTTTCAATAACATGACCTGTCTAGTCCCTTTATAGGGAGGTTGAGCAGGTCACAATACTGAACTAAATGTTCCCACATATACAGCATGTTGGGCAAGTTGCATCTTAATTCCTGTTTTATTAGATCCACTTGGCTAAAACCGAACGCCTGCTCTAGATTAAACCCTACCTGAGCAAAAGTACTGTTTTTTGTTGTACCTGTGGTAGAAATCACTGAAATTTCTGGTTTCACATGTTGTGTTCTGTATAAATGCCTCTCACACATGGTAGAAAACAACTGTTGGTCACAGTTTTTTATCCAGAAAGATGAATTTGTGCCAAACAGTGTCAACACACAAGAACATTCAGATTTTTAAGAAGTTTAATTGCACATACTACAAACTCATCCATAGAAATGTGCACTTACTGAATGGTCCAGTCTTTATTTTTGCCTGAATGCTTTCTAGTTTGGTCCTCTGCAAACTGTGTACTGTAGATTTGGGTTCTGGTCTTTCAGTGCACTTCATTTGAGCATTCCTTTAGAGACTTTGAGGATTTCTTTGACTGAAACTGGGTGTTTTTTTTTGTTGTTGTTGTTTGTTTGTTTTTTTGTCACATTTTTCCCTTTCTGGACTCTGCAATATAAAGTCCTAAATCTTTATAGAAACAGCACAATCATGACAAGAAGTAGAGAGAGTTTAAAATTGTCTTCTGTGCAGTATAATAAAGTGATGATTCCATGAATCCTAAATAAGAAAATAAGTAATTTGATATTTTAAAAAAAACAAACAAAAAAACATGGAATCCCTATGTACATCATTATCCAAGTAACCACAGGTGCTAGCAGTACGAGAAAAGAAATTGTGGCTCTACATAGTATAGATATTTTACTACTTACATTTTTAATTTCTTTCCGTGCTTGTCCCCTATCTGCTCTGTGTAAACAGCCTGCAGTTAAGCCTCATTGTCCCTGTATTATATTCATATGTGTAGTTTGCAGCTGAGTCACTGGTAGCTTTTTGTTTGTGCAGAATACATTTTTGTAGAAACTGGTATGTACAAGGGCTGCAAGGTGCCGCAGTGGTTAGCACTGTTGCCTCACAGCTAGAAGGTCACCGGTTCGCGTCCCGGTGAGGACACCCGGGATCTCTCTGCGTGGAGTTTGCATGTTCTCCCCGTGCAGCGTGGGTTCTCTCCGGGTTCTCCGGCTTCCTCCCACAGCCCAAAAACATGTTGAGGTTAATTGGTGATTCTAAATTGTCCATAGGTGTGAATGTGAGTGTGCTTGGTTGTCTGTCTCTAAGTCTAGCCCTGTGATAGACTGGTTACCTGTCCAGGTGTCCCCTGCCTTCACCCAGCTGGGATAGACTCCATCCCCCCATGACCCTAGTGAGGATTAAGCAGTGTATAGATGATGGATGGATGGATGGTTTGTACAAGTGGTTTATTTTAGGCGATTTTGGCATGTCAGATAAAGTAAATTAAAAAAATAATATAAAAATTTTAAGCTTAGGTTTAGTTCATTTTATGACTGAACTGCACTTTTTTAATTACTTCAAAGACTTTTGAAGAATTGAAAACCCTGTGATTCTTACTGATTCGACAGTTTCTAGCTCTGATAAGTGCAGCCATTTTGGATTTTTTAAATTTTATTTTTATTTTAAACCAGCCAGCAGCTTTTGGATTCAGTAGGTTAATACACTTAACTGAAAGAGGACAATTCACTCTTAATGTAAAATGAACTAAACACCCTTTTCCAAAAAATAAATTAAAAAATAAATAAAAATCCAAAATACCATTGACAACCACTCTACCGATCGAAGGCACTTGAATGTACATTTTTCAAGATCGTTTAAGACTGGGATCAAGCAGACAGCCCTGTCTGTGTCATCATTTAGGGAGGACAGCCACTGTGGCTCTAATTACTGGCACTACGTCTGGTTCTAAACCCTCTGATTATTCCTGTAACTGTGTTTTGCTGGATTTTCAGAGCCTGATTAATATTCATCTATCAGTTTTGATGGCAATTCTTTTCCTTGTAGATTCTTCTGACATGCAGATAAACACCGTCCATAGGCCCAGAATTGACACGGTTCTGTTTCCAGTGTATTTTATAACCACGGAAATCACAAGTGTCCTCAGTTTTGTTTCAGCGATCACAGGTTTTCCAGCTTATGTGTCAGTGATCATGGGTTTAACGAATTTTGTTGCATTGAGTTTATACTTTAGGGCCTGTATTTTCAATATAGTCTCTCCAAAGTGTTTATTTTTAATTGTTCATAAGATAAAATGGTCAGATTGGTGATAGAATCTTGAATGATTTAATGTGTTAATGATATTGCACAGTGGTTATATGCTGGGTACTATGACATGTAAGAGTAAACGAACTCCATGTGATGATAAAGGCTTTTATTGTGTTGTTTTGGCATTTTTAGGTATAATGCTATAATATTAAGGCACGGTACGACATAGCCAGCAGCTGTGAGAGCCTCTCGTGTTCAACTGTAAACATTTCATTTGGATAATTTTCTCGCTTCCTTTTGTCTTTCTCTCGCTTCCTTTAATTTGCTGACTCTGGTTTTCAGCTTCTGAAGAACAATAGCTGCGCATACATCCTCCTTCTCTGGCGGCGCTAACAGTGTCTGAAATGTAGCTGAAAACAGTGTTTTTAGTGTACGGTAAAAACTCCGCTATCTCAAGACAGCAGCAGTCTCCCATGAGAAAGTATCAGTCAGCGCAGGCAGCCGGCCACGCTCCTTGAACATGCTAATTCAGTCTCCCTCCTCTATTCCCCAGCTGCACCTCCACACTCTCCACCACTCTTGTTCTTCTTGGATGCACATAAATATATATTTTTTTCCTATTCACCTCTCTATTCTCCACGTGTGCGCACCTGCATACACATTTTTCTTTTTGTCAGACTTAAACATTGTCTCTTTGGTGATAATCAATTATCATTAGACAAGCAGGGCGTGGTAGATATGGAGGATTATTCGTCGAAGCATACAGATGGGTGCATTTTTTATTTTATTTTAATCCTTCGAAGAAAAAAACAACCTTTTAGCCAGAGAACACACCGGTATCATGAGAAACCACAGTTATGCCCCTTGACTCATACTTACTTTTCCCACTATTTTAAACAAAGGGCTACAGTATTGATTGATGCAGTGTGTTGTGAGCGAGCCTGTCTGGAATTTAGAGCAGAGAGTTCACTGGAGAAAACAAGTGTGCTGGATGGATGCAAGAAACAAACACACTAAGTTTAAGCACTTTGTAAAGGAAAAAATAAATAAATCTTGCACTGGTGTAATTATTATAGTGGCCGTACATCTATACGTGCTTCGACACAAATGCGCTGCCCCTATAGATGGGTATTTATTCTGTAACAGAAGTGTGCCTGCGCAGCTACGCGTGAACCCTAAGGATACTATTTATATCATTCCTAGCTCTTTCTTTCTCTTTATATCTTACTTCCGAGCTGTCAGGGTAATCAAAGAGAACTCATGGTGTGAAGGGAAATGGTGTTAGACTAAATGAGATGGATAGGAAGCGCACATACTGAGAATGTAACACAAATGGAAGGTGGTGAGAATTAATTTAATTATGTCTAGCAGATGTATGCGCGAGATAAACCATCTGCCTGATCAAAACTGACTACTCTTCTCTATATGTATGATTGTGTATTAACTTGGATCCTTCCTTCCTGCAGGTTTCACAAGTTATCTCAGGCTACGGTAACAGGAATGGAGCTACTGTATATCTGTATTTGATTGAGCTAAATGATCAGGTGTAACATGGAGACCCGGCAGTGAAAATCCTCTCACTTGGATGGTTGTTTTTCTTCTCATCTCCTGTCAGGCTGAGGAAGGAGAATGGGGAAGAAAGACGCCAGCGCGACCAAATTACCAGTCGATCAGTACAGAAAGCAGATTGGTGAGTCTTCTGTCATCCTGACGCATCACTTTTGTCGAGCGATAGTAAATCAAATAACAGATTAGTTTATGTCTGCTGATTTGATGTGTTGACACTGGTTGGGGACAGATTTAAAGAAATGACTGCTTCTCTTTGTTTCGTACCATAAAAGAAAGTCTCTGGGCATTTGCCATTAATGTGCCATACCAGATGACTGATAGTTTAATCAAAAGGATAATCAATATATTAACTGACAATTAAAACAATAAGTTCTGTAAATGAGTTCCTGATGTTTTGTTGACAGCTGAGATTGATCTTCTGTTTGTTGTGTAACTCCATTTCAACCAAAAAATCATAACTCAACGCTTGATGTGGGCAATCTTACCACAATGCAGTAATCAATGCCCCCTCATAGAAAAAATCATACATAATAAATCACATATAATACTATGGTGCCGGGAGGTTTTTGAGGGTAGTTAGTTTCACATTTATCCCAAACTGCGTAACAGTCTTTAAAACCTTTGTCAGCGTTGGCTATGCAGGAATAAGTCTCGTCTTTTCTGCACAGTCCTGGAATCCTTTGTGGTTTGCGTTGGATTGAAAAGAAACTTAAACCAGATTCACTGGATTAGAGCCACTATACAACCTGTGGAAGCAATTACACTGAGAGATGAACAAGAAGCATCTCAGGTGACAGACAGTGAATACCACGCTTAGAGAACTGCCTCTTTGATATCACGTCAGAAGCTGTTTTGTCAAACTTTAATGCCACTCCAATCCTTTAGTATTTGGTTTCCCCCATCTTTCCTCTTACATCACAAAGGCCTAACTAAAGCAATATGGTTGAAATCAATCAAAAGTTTGGTCGCCTTTAGCGTGCCAGCCATGGCTGCTTGAAGATCACAGCTCATATCATGTCTTTTTTTGTTTTTGTTTTCCTCTTGCGGAGCAGAATCAAAAGGTTGCCAATGGCCAGGCTGGATAATGATGCAAATACAAAGAGAAGCTCTGTTGGCCTTTTGGGCTTAAAGGTTTTATTTCAAATCCCAGGAGTTATATTGTTGACATTAAATGTGACTCAGTAGTCTTGTTAGACAATCAAAGGTTTCCACTTCCTGATACAAGGCGGATGTTTTTTTCAGGTAGTGGAGAAATGGAGTAAAGCTCCTGATCTTGGTCTTGATCTGTACCATCATCAGGAACCTGCACAATGTGCAAGTTCCTGGCAAAGGTGCAACATTTACAGCTACAGTATAAAGGATGAGCTGAAGGGTGACCTAATTCAGAAGATTAAAGTTGCACAGCTAGCCATTTTATTTTGGATAGGGTTGGGTCTTGTATTTTAACAATTTTGATTCATATTCTGCTTATTGATTCTGGTTTTTAACGATTACCGATTTCAGACCTTTGAGGGGCAGGCGGTTAGAGTTGCTATAGCAGTAAAGTCTCACTTTAACATTATTGCATAAGTAATAATGATCTAAAGGTTTAACATACTATATTATTAAACAGTGATCTGAGACATTTTTCTACATTGAGTACTTTCACTGTTCTTGCCAAAGTGACTTTTCTTTGTTATACTCGCATACTTTCACTTTAAGTGACATTTTCAATGCAGGGCTTGTGTAGTGTAGTCCTGGTACTTACTTGCCTGCCTCTGTCTGTCAAGGTAAACAAACACTTAATAATTACATAAAATATATTAAGTACTATGTTTTATAACGAGTGCGGTTAGCACAGCCACAGCCTGACTGCACATCCGCTTTATTACAACAGAAGTAGAGCAAAGTGGCAAAGTAGACCAGTGGGTGTGTTGTGGGAAGTGAGAGGTACCAACATGTTGCTGTAGTCACTGTAAAGTGCTGCTGTAAGGGTAGCAGAGTTGCTTTGCTCAGCAACAGCCAAGTAGGATAAAATAATAATGTTAAACTCATGATTCATTGAGACAAATGCATTAGGAGACAGAAAGACATGCAGGCATTCAACCCGCATGACTAATTATGAAGGTTGATAGCAATACATACATAGTAGGTGTTTGCAGTGCACCGTTCATAAAGTGGTACAATGTGCTTAGGAACAGATAACTGGAATCAAAATTTATTTTTCTTAGTGGTTCGTTCAGAATCAGAACTTCTCCAATTCAGATTCCAAATTGAAACCAGTTTCCAATGGCCAGCCCTAGTCTTGGACTTATGTACATCTACACATCCCCTAATCGTGAGAAATCAAGAAAGAATTCTTTATATTCCAATTTCTTGAAAGTCTGAAGAACAAAATGTCTGAGAACATTCAGACTTAAGACATAAGAAAAAGGGTGTAAACCATTTTTAAATGCCAGTAACACAGCAACTATTTCAACAGCAGAAGCAGTGGCTCCTAACTTTATAATAAGTGTTTACACACAGCAACACAGTCATCTCTTATATCTTGTGCCACATATTGGGGCACATTTTCGATGAATTTGCACACTGTTGTCACTGCAAGAGTCCAATAAACAAAATGCTTTGAAGGCCTCTTTTAGTGAACAAGACGTGAATGTTAGGGTGTTAATCAGAAAGATTATGAAATCCTGCTGGCTTCTATACATGATTTGTCCCTGCATGTAAATAACCCTCACAAGATGGATTTGGAAGCCCTGAAGTTATTTTATTGACCAGAAAAGGCTTCTTTCTATTAACATCTTGTGTAAAACACCAAAGAATGTTCAATTTGTTTCGTAGCAGAACTGGTAAATCATACATGCCCCTTTCTGTCATGCAGTTCACAACCAGAACATGTATTAATGTGAACTGTAGCGCCATTAGAAGGCAAGAAATAAAGTTCTCCCATGGCCAGGCATTCTCTAGATGTCTTTACTGTGTACTGTGTCAGCTATAGCATTGCTCTGGACTCCTTCCTCCCAGAGGATGATTGTTTGTTGGTCCCTGGTGATTCACATCCTCATATTATTTCAGGTTTTATATTTCCTGGTGTTCCTTCGATGTTAACAGGATTCACGGTAGTCCAATGGTCTCTAAGGCTAAATGTTTTTTTATTGATCCATGTTTGCATTTTTGCCATTTTTCTCTTATAGCAATTTTTTTCTGAATTGCCTTTTTTTCTATTCATGTTATTTCATTGTGTGTCTGACAGCAATATTTGACAATCTCAGGCATGTCATAGCCTGTTAGGAAACGTTCCTGTTATTTTTACTCTACCAGGCTATAAAGGAGGGGGGTGACTGTTGCATTTGTTTTCATACTGCAAGAGAAGAATAGGATTATTTAGCCTGTAGATATCTCTTAACCATCTGCCATTATGTAAAACCCGCCAGGTTCAACAAACGAGGTTCACACAGCAACATAACAAGCTCATCTCCCACTATCACATCTCCTAGCAGGAGTGCAGAAAATCCCCCCAGTTTTTATTTTTTCAGCACATCTTATCAATTGAGAAATATGTAACACACCTGTCATAGATTTCGCTGGTCCCATCTCTACCGCCGCCTCACTCCAACCCCTCAATTTTGACCATTTTTTCCTTCTTTTTCAAGAGAATGGCCATCAGGCAATTTCAGTGAACCACTGTTTAACAGCAAAGGTGGAAAACAGAGAGTGGGGTGGAGAGGGGGGAAAGGTGGAGAAAAACGAAGTCTTCAAGGAAAGCATGGGGCTTGGTCTTCTGAGAGCTGGAATAGGCCACACATGGTAATTTGAAGTCGTAATAGGTGGCTTTTTCATGGCACATCAGCAGTAGTCCAGGCTGGTTGTTGAGCTGTACCATCATCTCTGCTGGAGTGCTTTTGTCATGTCAGATGGCCATCAAAGGGCTACTGTTTGACTCTCTCTTTTTAAATACCATTATTAGGCCTGTTATAATTGACTGCCCACTGGATAGGTAAAGCTATAGTGGTCTTACATAGAAGTATGACTGTTCACTCCGTTCAAGCAATTGGATTGCTGCTGCCTGCTCGAAACTAGAGGAAATTGCAAGTTGGGAATTATTAGCTTTAGGTGGTGTAATTTCACACTGGAAGAGATCACACCTGCAAAATTGCACTTCCTGTGGGTTAAATATTTCACCCCCGTCTGTAGACAAACTACACTGCATCACCAAGGTATATGTGTTTTCCTCTCGTCGTTATATCATGCACAATCGTCAGTCATGCGCTTTTTTTTTTTAACTTTAAATCTCACACAGATTGCAAAATTTCACCGCCCTTCTCCTCCACTGACAGAACAAGGAATAAATATTTCCCATGTGTCTGGCATCAGTCCTCCAGTTCTACCACCCTTCATTCTGGCAGATGCCAGCGATCCGCACCATGTGGTCACTGACTATTTGGCTGCCATGCCGCATAGACACAGAAGCAAAGCAAAGCATGAGAAACTGTCAGACACGCTGTCAGTGTGTTTCCAGAATTGTCCCAGGGCACTCAGAGAGTACTGGACGGTGGGCTGTCTGTCCAAATCACCCCATCACTCTGCATGTGGTGCATATGTAGTATTGTTAGTCCCCGTAGACACAAACACACGCACACATTCCTCAGTTAGTACTTTGCTTTGCACGCTCATGTACCTGTTTGTTGCCATGTTGCCGTCATGAAAATAGTTTACAAGGGTTTTTGCCTGAGAAATTAATAACTCGCAAGTCAACATGTCTGTTTTCTACTATTGATAATGCTGCCTTAACCTGTTCATAGCACACTGTAAGTCTGGCAAAACAATCCAACCTTGAAAAGTTTTCTTTAAAGCGAGCAGTAAATCTACCGATAACTCTGATTCTATACCTGGTGAGGAGGGTCCAGCAGCAAAAACAGCAAGATCCCACTTAAAACCCAAGTGGCAGAAGAAAAATTCACATGGCATAAACGCGAAACTATCGATGGAGTGGATAAAGTGTCTTGCTCCTTCTGTGTTAGCTCAGGGAGGAAAAATAGCTCAACAAGAGGGTCACCCAATACGAGAATATCAGCCCTGACAGAGCACAGCCGGTGCCAAGATCACATTTTTCTCTGCACAACAACAACTGCATGTGAAAAG